TCTTTGGTTAGTCTGGCATACAGAAGTAAACTTTGCACTCCAGATTTTCCAGCTACGTGCAACGTGACCTCTTTAATTTTTAAAATATGTTCATATGATTTTGGAATACATGATTTCTGGTGGCTGCGTAACTACCACCATGGAATTGTCTTGTAAGCAGTTTACTGCTGCTTTCTTCCAGGATTTTTTCCAGGTTTTATATGCTGGCATGGAAAAATGGCAACCATTTAAGGGCAGATTTTCCATACACACTTTCTTAGTAACAGTTTATTGTGACCATACCATGTGCCAGAGAATCTCAATTCTGTTGCAACTGTTCGAAGAAGAAAACAGATAAAATTTGAACTTCCAAGAGCACTGATGGGAAGAACTTAATTTAAAATGCTTCAGGCAGTTGTTTTTTTTCATTTTGTGCATTATTTCCTTTCAGCTTCTTTCCTGTGATGAACAACTGCATATTTTTCTTTCTTATGGTAGCATTTCAGCTACTTTGCAGAGGAATTTTGTTTTCATTTTACTCTAGGAAGAATCAATTATCTTTCACACTGGGTCAGTGACCAGTGATCTGTTAAATTATTTAAGAATGTTCCTGAGTAGAGGAAGGTTTGGCACTCCATGGATCCCCAAATCCAATACTTCCCTTGTTCCTGATCTCAAAATACAGGCATTAGGCATGGTGACCCTTTGACCCAAGAGGTACAATCCACAAAGATTTTTATTCGGGATTCCAACACTTAGAAAGACCTTTTTGCACAGAGGTGTAAATATATAGATAACCTGCTTCAAATGTCTATATCCAGGTGCATGAATACAACAGATAGCAACTCTGGAAGGAAAGCAAACCCTGCTCCTTTCTATAAGCAGTGAAAGATTGATGCTCAAGTCACATTCCTTGATGGATTCCAGGGCTGGAGTGCAGGAAATCCCAGCTCTCCATAAGAACATTGGCATGAAATATCAATACAGTACAAATATTTAAACATTTATTCACTAGCCCTCTCTAGTACATCTCCAGGGCCATGCTGAAAGCAATTGGTGGGAGGTAAGCACAGCTGAAGTAAAAACCCTATTCCTGGATGGTTGTTGTTTTTTCAGTTTCTACTCACATTGCAAGCAACAGGGATGCCTTTTTTTAACATTAATTTTTTTAAAGCCAAGAGTATAATGCAACAAATCCAGAAATATCTTCTATCTATACAGCAACTATGCTGTCTATTAGTACAGCATCTCTTAGACCAAACTGTCAAACTGGTGGCCTGTGGGCCGGATGTGTCACACGCAGGCCACGCCCACCCCAGCTCCGCGAATGGGAAAAGCGTCGTGAAACGTCACGTGACGGCAACGTGGCGTGTTGAGTTTGACACCCGTGTCTTAGACGTTAAAAGGGCAGAACAATCCTCTTAGTTGTAGCAGGCAGAGCAAAGATTTAGTAACAGTAACAGAGTTGGAAGGGACCTTGGAGGTCATTTAGTCCAACCCCCTGCTCACGCAGGAGACCTGTACTAGGGATTCGAACCGCCAAACCACCAACGTTTCTGATCAAGAAGCTCAGTGTCTTAGCTACTGAGCATCTAGACTGACTTTAATATGAAGATGTGTGGATTTCGACTCCGAGAATTGCCCCACCAGCATGTACAGGTAGTCCTCAACTTACGACCACAATTGAGCCCAAAATGTATGTTGCTAAGGGACACATTTCTTGAAGTGAGTTTTGCTTTGTTATGACCTGTCTTAACATTTGTTAAGCAAATCACTGCGGCCGTTAATTTAGTAACATGGCTGTTAAGTGAATCTGGCTTCCCCATTGACTTTGCTTGTCAGAAGGTCACGAGGGGGTCACATGACCCCGGGACTCTGCAACCGTCATAAAGATGAACCAGTTGCCAAGCATCTGAATTTTGATCACATGAACATGGGAATGCTCCAAAGGCCGTAACTATGAAAAACGGTCATGTCACTTTTCAGTACCATTGTAACTTTCAATGGTCACTAGTGAACAGTTGTAAATCGAGGACTCTGTATTTAGAACAGTCTTTCTCAATCCTAACATCTTGAAGAGGTGCGGATGCTGACTTGGAGAAACTTTGTTGCCAAGGTTAAGAAACACTCTTTTAGAGACTAACAAATGGGTTGATTTTCAAAGGCCTGGAGGCTGATAAAATTGTACCCTGTAATAAATGAATTCATTTTTAAGATGCCATTTTTATCTCAAATTATCCAGCAGAGGGTAGTCAAAGTGCTAATGTTCTTCTTTTGGTTAAAGAACCTGAGTGCTCAGCCAACTTCACTAAAACAGAATTAAAGAATTAGAACTATTATTGTTCTGGGTGTAAATTTTTTACCTTATTAGAAATTATATACTTCTGTGTGTCCAGCTGATTTTTGTTTTATTTTATTATTGGAAATGAAGTGTTCTTTGTTCAGGAAAGAAATTATCTTTGGGTGGTCTATAAACAGGAACAGGAATAGTTATTTAAAAGAAATATATATATATATATATGATAAACTTTCAGGGCGACAGCCTTCTTTAACAATTTTCTTATAGCATAAAGCAGGGGTCTCCAACCTTGGTAACTTTAAGCCTGACGCTCTTCAACTCCCAGAATTCCCCAGCCAGCTTCGCTGGCAGTTGAAGTCCGTCAGGCTTAAAATTGCCAAGGTTGGAGACCCTTGGCATAAAGCATTCATGAATTACAGCGCACTTTACATGGAGCATAATTCTGAGAAAGAAAAGGAGTGGAAGATTAAAAAAATGGGGGGGGGGATTAAAAAGAGCCTTGGTGGCGCAGCACACTAAAGTGCTGTTAAAGTAGCACTTAGCTGCCAGCTGCCTGCAATAACTGCGAGTTCAAATCTCACCAGGCTCAAGGTTGATTCAACCTTCCATCCTTCTGAGGTAGGTAAAATGAGGACCCGGATTGTGGGCAATAGGCTGACTTTGTATAAAAAAGAACACTGCTTAGGGGGGGCCGAAAGCCCTACTAAGCAGGTATATACAAAAGTATGAAGGCTATTGCTTAACACATTGTAAGCCACCCTGAGTCTCCGGAGAAGGGCGGCATATAAATCGAACCAATAAATAAACAAATGATAAGAAGATATGAAATTATTTACTAGCCATAAATAAAACCATATGTGGGTGAAATACAGGCAGATTTCATGTAAAAACTTTCCAATCTTGTCCTAGGAAAAAAATAGAACGTGGATGGCAAAAACAGAAACGTTATAAAAATGTCATATCTATTTGAGGCTACCGTATTCAGCTACACTTCAGCAAAAAATCACAATTTATTGCTGTCTATAGTGCATTGGTAAAGCTACTATAAAAGAGTTTGGAACACATTCTTAAAAGTAACTTTTATATGTATTTGTAAATGCAGTAGAAATGTTTATTAATGAAGACACAAAAACAATGTCTACAAGCTACTTTGTAAGCTAAACATTACTGCTTTTCATTTTTTTTAGCAGTTGTAAACTTTGTGTCTTCACATAAAGATGCAGATTGGCATTAGTTACACAAATGTGTATCACCCTGCTATTTTCTTTCAGGCAGGTTAAAAGCAATGGAAGAATAAAAGTGGAATATAGCAATAATCTATATATTAGGCTTTCAATAGAAACTGCAGGTGGCTTTAATAGGTTATAATACTAATGCAAACTAATACTTTTGAACAAATGACCTGTAAATATAAACAAAGAGCAAATATTGTGCAATCTTTGTTGCTATTTAAAGTAGATCCAACTAGGACTCATGCTTAAGGGGAAAAGCTTTCTATCTGTTTTACATGCCACAGAGAAGTTATTAAACTGTTGCTATAGAGCTTATTGAATGCAATAATCCTCCTTGGACTACTTAAGTGCTGTCAAAATGATGGGAATGTATGGGAGTGAAGCTAGACACACCCTAACACAGCCGAGAATTATCTGTATATTTACAAGACTTTATGATATCTGTATCAAGCATTATCAAGCATAAACATAACTTAATATGTAGAATTAAATTTAAATGACTTACATTTCTATTACTTCGCCTATGGAATCGTTTCTCAACTGGTCAATATTTAAGATGTGCAGCTTTTAATTTCCAGAACAGTCTAAAAATGCATTTCTGCTAAGTTTTTTCTCCTCCTCTACTTCCTTATCTGCAGGCTTAAGTATGTTAACAGCCTCTCCTCTTTAATACGCTTGCTCAACCTCTGAATGACATGGAGTTTTCTAGAGTCGAGTTGCCCTGTTGTTGCCCTGTTTCAGAGGGAGAGGGTGCAAGCTATTCTTTTCTGCAGATCCTTCATTCGCCTCAGCTGCCTAAAGCCCCTTCCTAGTTCATCTCCCTGGCCATGTATTCTCTGCCGTCTGTCTCACCCAGTCACCTCTCACCCTAGCACCCATCTCCTGCCAAATCTAGAACAAACTCACTCCTCTTTTTGTGGCTTCCTTTATAGTTTTTTTTAAATTTTGAAATCTATATACAGGTAATCCAAAGCAGTTTTATTTTTTCCCCTTGCTCTGCAAGGGTTTGTGATGTAGGGATGGTCAGACCATTAAAGTGAAAAAACTTTGACAATCACATGTAAATATGCCAAAGTTCAGCCTCAGTACTCAAATAGACGTTGAAAAATATGCTGCATTGAAATAAATGACATCAGCTTTTCTGTATCATTTTTAGCATTGCCAAAATGTTTTGCTAATTATTATCAGAATAATTATGGCCACAACTCCATGCAGTTAAATGCACCCAACTCCTATTGAAATCAGTAGAGTTTGCACACTTCTAAGACACAACTGCCATAAATGGACAATGCTAGAAGGCATATTTAACTTTAGTTTAATTAACTCCCACAGGAATCATTTTTAAAGATTTTTATTCCTACAAAAGTTGGCTATAGAAGGCCTTGAATGGCTGGTTCCAATGGCAACTAGATATAGCTCATTGTTTTAGCTTAACAGTGTTATGGATCTGTGTCTCTTGGTGATCCAAAGAAATAGCTGGAATATAGAAGTACCAAATAGTTATGTACTTTATTTAAATCGATAAATGCAAAATCTTACCAGAAAATACATTTTTCACAGTAAACTAAAATAGCTACAGGAAGTGCTTTTTGCCCTTCAAAAAAATAAATGAAGCTTAATGCAAATGTGCTGGTCATTTTCTCAAACACTGAAGACGACAGGAAGTTCCAGTTTATGGTTCTTCTTAGGATACATTCAACTATATAAATATATAAATTGGAAATAAAAAAAAATAAAAAAATAAACAACTTCTTCATTTTATGCTTTTAACTGATTTATATGCTGCCTATCTCTTAATGGCTCCCGGAAGCTTTCAAAAGATAATAAAAACCAATAAAATGCCATCTAGCAATTAAATGCCATCAAGTGGTTGTCTGATCTTAGCAACCATCAAATCCTAAAAAAAACAATAGAAAAAGACTTAAGTTACAGTGTATTTATACTTATTGTTTAATATTTAAACAATAAACAATCATATAATATATACTCTTGTTCAGCATTGAATGTAATAGATGCTGGTTTGTTTGTTTTTATAATTAATCATGACTGAAAAACTATCCGTGTTGGTTCCCCTGCTGGCCTCATTTGCTTGTCACACCTAAGTTAACTCAGTGGACACATCACTCTAAACACTGTGTGGCTTCTTTGGGTTTGGCTTATTGTGCTATACAGGGCCCTGTGATTTGTAAATCAAGATTTACAGCTTAGCATGATGCATGACTTCAGGTTACATCTTGTTTAATATATCACAGTAAAGCAAAAAGTGGCTTAATGCACTTCACAAATTTTATCTATCAGTTATCTCAATCTCTCAATTTGCTGGTTCTCAAGACTCTGCTAGAACTGTACCTTAGCTGCTACACGCTCCCCTGCTAATTTCTTCTTTCTCATAAATATCTGAAGAGTTGAGATACATGTACAAAACTTGGACAAAGGTAGTGTTGGATGTTATCGATATTTCTGCTGAGAGAAAAGCAGTCAAAGTACATGATGATGAAAATATTTGGGGTTCAAGGAATCACACTTCTGGAAGCCTACTTGCCTCCTGCTAATGGACCGGCCTGGACTGCATATCCTGAACCATAACAAATTCTTCACACCAGGGGTACTGCTAAAAGTAATGGAAAGGGTGTATTATACCAACTTGTCACCTAGGCTTTTATTGCCAATTTCAAATTAAACCAAAATAACTGTTGTTGATCCTTATCACTTGGCCATTCAAGATAAGTTTTGGTACTCATTAATTTTCGGAGTTTGCAAAACCTTTCTGGGATTGTTTTTGTTGGAATAGATTCCAGGAGGATCAAAATGGCTGTGTCATTATTCTCATCAAAAAAACGGAAGTGAGAAAAATCCAATTCATACTTGCACCACTCACTCCGCACAAAATTCTCCGACAACACAAACAGGGTTTTAGAGCTCTTCTCAATGGAATCAATAATATTGTCTACAATCCATTTGCCAGGCATGAAGTCTCTTTTATGAAGACAGAGTTTAAGTGGAGGGTTTGATTGCTCCAGCATCTCCACCATAATATTTTCCACCCATTCAGAGTCTTGTTCACTGTAGGAAATGAACGCATCATAGCAGACTGCCTGGTTGTGGGTCCTTTGAGGCTTGCGTTTTGCTTTGAGCCAGGCCAAAGTCATGCGTATATACCAAATGACATGAAACTTGTAGCAAAGAAATGCTGACACCACGATGATCAGGATTATCAGAATACAAAGGATGGACACAAAAGACCTGAAATGACAGTCAGTCAGTTGCAGCTGGGCAACTCCGATCTGCTCCCCTTTTATATAATCTGGAGAATCACAGATGTAATTTTCAGGCCAACCAATACAGATATTATATATTCTTGGATAAGACTGTACAAAGGAAACAAATTCACACTTGCATTGAAAACTGTTATAACGGGCATCCAGCGACTTCAGTTCTACAAACTTTTCCAATTCCTGCTCAGAGAACATAAAAACATTGTTTTCTCTAATAGTCACAAAAGTTACACGAGGGATGAAGGCAGCATCTGGTAGAGTTTTTAACCTATTATTTTTAAGGTAAAGTTCCTGAAGATGAGGCAGGCCCATCTTAAATTCATAGAGGAAATTGTTGCTTGCATCCAGAATTTCTAAAGAGTCAGGGATGCAACCTGTAAGTTTCTCTACTTTACAGCCAGAGATGTTTAAATATTTCAAGCTTTTTGGCCAACGACATGATTCTGGCATTTGTTCTAAGTTATTCTGACTTACATCTAGGTTAGTAAGGTTGACTAAATGAGCCACACTTCGAGCCGTCCGATCAAGATGTGTCAAAGAATTTTGACTCACATTGAGAGTCTGCAGTTTAGGCCAACTTCCTGGACACAATGAATGCTCAAAAAACAAATCCTGAAGCAAATTTGTATTGAAATCAAGATACTCTACTGAATGGAATTTTTTTGCAAGCCCACAAGGCACAAGAAAAACTTTTGTATTTTCAATGGTTAGTCTGGTAATATTCTGTACAAGATACCACATGCTTGAAAGATCTGAAAATAAATAAAATGCATCTATATTTAAATTCCTAAGTGTTACTATATGTACATTAGTAGAAATTTGCTGACTATTATGGAAATGCCCAGTACCTTGTAATCTGCTATCTATAATTTCTAACTCTTGTAACTGGGTCATACCAGATAACGCATCAAAAAAAGGAACCACCTCATTTTCTAAAAAATCACTCTCTCTAAATCCAAGCTTTTGAGCAGTCATTGGAACCTCTTTGAAATAACGGATAAGGGATAAAAAGTTATGGCGTATGTTTCTCAGTTCAAGAAACACCCCAGAATGTTTAACATCAATTAAAATCAAATTCAGTATGGAGTTGACAGTAACATTCAAAATAATGTGATTTATGCGTTCAAGAGACTGTAGAGCTCCTGGTGAATATTGTTTAAGATTCCGTCCCTCAATCTCCAGTTCTTCAAGAACTGAAATTCCTTCAAAATCTTTTGTCTGTAAAGAAGAGAATTTATCATTTCCCAAGTATAGATATCTCAGCTTTTGTAAGCCAGGAAATAATGGAAATTTCCCAAGTGTTGAGTAGGAATTCCCCTTTAGGTTTAATTTCTGTAAAGAAGAAAGATTTCTGAACCAAGTGGATGACAAGTAGTTCAGGTTATTCCATGATAAATCCAAATGCTCCAGCTTTCCAAGGAAGTCAAAGGCATTCTCATCAATTGTCTGAATTAAATTGGATTGAAGCAAAAGTGTTCTAAGATTGACTGCAAACTTTAGGTCAGCATCTCGGATATGCACAATGCTATTGAAGGCCAGGTCCAGTCCCAAGACAGCATCTGATAGGCCCAGTGGAACTGAATGCAGACTTTTCCCATGAAAATTGCAATCAGCAACATCACAAAATGGGATGCTCTTTTCAGCAGAAAAACTTTTAGCTCCAGCAATTGAGATAAACCAAAGACTCCAAATTGGCAACATCGTGATTATCTAAAAGATACAATACATGATACGTTTGGTAATTTTAAGTAGTTTGGTTATAAAAACAAGATGCAGTCAATATTAACAAATATCACACAGAGAGCTAGAGGTAGCTTTAATGACAGTTGGAAATTATTTCTTATGCATTCAGCTAGATCTGTGGTTCTCAATCCGTGGATCACTGGGGGGCTGCAATGTCATACGGTGTCCAAGAAGGATTGATGCAGTCTCTAAATCTTTAGTTAAGTCTTGGTGGTCCGTGGCCACAAAAGGTATTTAAAGGGGGTCTGTGGTGAAGAAAAGGTTGAGAACCACTGAACTAGATTATATACTAACCACAAAATATAATTTATACCCCAAATGGAGTTTAAATATAGTTTATACTCCTTTGTGAAAACTGCCTGATTCAACATGGGCATATTTATGTTATTCAGTTCCAGTCAAAGCTAAATCAATATTTGGGAACCCAAAGTTTCAGGAACTATAGAAACAGCGATTTTTTTTTTTTGTCCTAATCCCAATTTCTTATTCCTTGGAAACCATGTCTGGCTTTAAACACTGGAACACAAGAGAAAATAAAAGAGAAGTACAGCAAAAGGACAAAAGTAGTTAAATAGAACCATGCCACAAAAATGAATAAATTTGCACAAAGTGCCCAGAGTTTATTTTCCAAATCTGTTACTGCCATTCACATTTAACTCTGTCCTGAGAAAGGAAACAATTGTGAAGACTAAACAGTCAGGTCAGTTTGACCTCTGTTTCAAAAAAAAAAACCAGACTGTTATTTCCTGTCATAACCAGGGGAATAATGATGTGCACAGATTTCAAGCAAATTTGAGCACAAGGCAATGAGCAGTGTGACTTCAATGGAAAGTGAAATTATAGATTATAGTAAATTATAGAAGTGGGAGGACCTAAAATGGTGATGTGGCTGTAATCCTTATAATGAGCTCGTCCTAAAAACATTTCATTTTTCCTGCATTATAATTCACCACTTTCATGATTACATTACTTAGATTACTTGATTATAGAAGCATAGGTCAATTTCTGCTTCTCTAGACTCCCTTGAATATTCTGAGAATGCCATCACCATTTTTCTGTGATTAATACCCATTGAAGAGACAAACTATAGTGCATTTTTATCCATTCATTTCTTGTAGGAGTAAGCATGCACAGCCAACATGATTATCTCTTTATTTCTGAGAAACAGGAGCAGACTACATATGATGACATGTTCTACTTCTGCTTTAAGTTTAGACACCAAAGAACACAAGTGAAGAATTCTGAAATGATTCCTTTCCCTTTCAAGAGAGTTTCCCTACTCAGCAATCATATCTCTGAGGTCCAACAGATTAAAGAAAAAGTGGACTGTTAAATAGATAGACCAAGTGGGGCTGTAGCTTTATGTAGCTATGGAGCTATGGAGCTCTATGTAGCTAAGAATTCTCCAGCTGCAATTTTGGATGAATCACTGCCAATCAGTGTTGAAAATACTAGGTTGAATGGACCAGGGACTTCAGATAAGACAACTTCTCTTGCATCCAAGATTCAACTTCTTGCCAGTGTACTCCAAGGACCAGTAGATCTATCACTATCTCGTATGCAGAATGTATACTGGACTACTGTAATGCTCTCTACGTGGGGCTCCCCTTGAGGAGCACCCGGAGGCTCCAACTGGTGCAGAGTGCGGCCGCGCGGGTGTTTATGGGAGTGATGTGGCGTTCCCATGTAACACCTCTCCTGCGCAAGCTGCACTGGCTCCCGGTGGTCTTCTGGGTGCGCTTCAAGGTTTTGGTTACCACCTTTAGAGCGCTCCATGGCTTAGGACCTGGGTAATTACGGGACCGCCTGCTGCCACCAGTAGCCTCTCACCGGCCAGTACGCTCTCATAGAGAGGGGCTCCTCAGGGTGCCGTCAGCCAAACAGTGTCGACTGGCGTCCCCCAGGGGGAGAGCCTTCTCTGTGGGGGCACCTGCTATCTGGAATGAGCTTCCCCCGGAGATACGGAGGATCCCGGATTTACGCACCTTCCACCGTGCCCTCAAGACTTTTTTATTTCAACAGGCTGGCCTGGCCTAACTTCCCTTTTTAATTGTACATTTTTAAATTTGTCTTAAAACATTGGGGGTGTTTTAATCTGTTTCGGGACAAATTATTTAATGGGTTTTTATATTGTCTTTTAAATTTTGTAGTCTGTGTGTTTTATCTCTTTGGCTGTTCACCGCCCTGAGTCCTTCAGGAGTAGGGCAGTATATAAATCTAATAAAATGAAATGAAAATGAAAAATATAGGTAAAAACATGACCATGATTAGCAGTCCAAGTTGTATTAGCAATAAGAAGTGATTTTATTGTCATAATTCTGTTTCCACCAGTGTTTGACAGCTACAGGTCCTGTTCATTAGGAGCACAAAGAGTGGCATATTTTTATTAGCAAAATGATGGTACAAAAAGTGTCTTTATTTTCTGGCAAAAAAAAAAAATAGTCCTGCATATGAATTCATCACATCTTGCACAGTACAAAAAATGTGAGAAATGATGAATAATAGGGTGGGGTCTAGTCAACATTGTTGCCTCACACTTGAAATGAAAGTTACAAGCCAAGGCACTGCATGTGATATTACATACCATAAATGTAAAATATGCAAGAACATACATGCCCACATATGACTTTGGGTTAAGTGCTGTACGATACCTGACTTTGTCACTTTATGGGAGAATCAAATGGACCTTTGTAAATCCCATCCCTACATAAAAGGGAGCAGCAGTGTTTCTACACAATTCATACATTCCCCAAAGCATGATATCATCATTTCACCTTTAAGGTTAAAAGCACGGGACATGAACAGATTAAGAGAGTTGGAAGGGACCTTGTAAATCTTCTAGTCCAACTACCCTCCCAAGCTGGGGACTCTGCATCATTTGCACCAAAAATGGCAGTCCAGTCTCTTCTTGAAAGCTTCCAATGATCAAGATCCCACAACTTCTGAAGGTGGATTGATCGTTCTCACTGTCAGAACATTTCTCCTTATTTCTAGGTTGAATCTCTCCTTGATCAGTTTCCATCCATGATTCCTTGTCTGGTTTTCAGGTGCTTTGGAAAATACCTTGACCCCTTCCTCTCTGTGGCAGCTCCTCAAATATTGGATGGCTGTTATCATGTCTCCCTAGTCCTTCTCTTCACTAGACTAGCCATGCCCAGTTCCTGCAACCTGCAAACATACTGCAAACATACAGTTCATGTATGTTTTAGCCTCCAGTCCCCTAACCATCTTGGTTGCTCTTCTCTGCCCTTTTTCTAGAGTGTCAACATCTTTTTTTATAGTGTGGTTCATCCTATGTTTTAGCCTCCCGTCTCCTGATCACCGTGGTTGACCTTCTCTGCACTTTTTCCTGCTCTTCTCTGCACATTTTCCTGGCCTTTCTTTCTTTCTTTCTTTCTTTCTTTCTTTCTTTCTTTCTTTCTTTCTTTCTTTCTTTCTTTTCTTTCTCCTTCCTTCCTTCCTTCCTTCCTTCCTTCTTTCTTTCTTCTTTCTTTCTTTCTCTCTCTCTCTCTTTCTCTCTCTCTCTCTCCCTCCCTCCCTCTCCCCCTCCCTCCCTCTCTCTCTCTCATACAGGTCACCTTGGACGGCTGTCCTATCATCTGTACATAGATAATAATTTAAACATCATCTCAAGACTCTTCATCTCCAAATCACCACCGCTTCTTTCTTTCTTCTTTCTGCACCTGTTAAATTCCAATTACAGCCCCCCCCGTCGCCCACAGAAAAGCAAAACATAAAATGAAGAAGAGTAAAAAAAAAAAAAAAAGCACTTACTACGCCTCCTTACTCAAAACTCCCACGAACGGCACTCTACGCCGAAGTGTTTGCTCAGGAGCGCTTCCTCAAGGGAGGTTTAATCTTTGAAGAAAAACGAAGAGTTAAAAGGAGCAGCGGAACGAAGACACGCCTCTGGCGTTACTACTCACTCGCCGAGCTTCCGAAACTCCCTTCACACAAGCCTCGCGGACGGTTCGGCAACGTCTGATGCGCTTCCTCGGAAGACGCTCCGAACATGCCAGCGGGGTATCCCGTGCGGAAGGCAGCCTTTGGAGGAGCTGGAGTGGGGGGAGTTTGGGCGGTGGCTTCGCCTCAGTTACGATACAGATTTAGATGTCGAAATTTCCTTCCCAATAGCCACGCCTCGCGCTGTCCCCCTCCTCCCTCCCCCTCCCTCCTTATGTTTGGGACTTCCCCGTTTTGCAAGTTTTGCTGCCCAAACTTCCCCAGGTTCCCCTGCAGAGAAGGTGGAGCCCTGATTAAAAGGAGCGCTGCAGCTTTCCCACTTCAGAACATACCAGATTTTATTTATTATTATTATTATTATTATTATTATTATTATTATTATTATTATTATTTAATCTTTAGTGAGATTCACAGCCTTTGAGGCTGGTTAATAGCTCAGCAGCTCGAGTCCTAACCAAGGACCTAGGAATAATAATAATAATAATAATAATAATAATAATAATAATAGTAATAATAGTAATAATAGTAATAATAGTAATAATAATAATAATAATAAATAATAGTTGTGTTGTTTTTGTTGTTGTTAATCTTTAGTGAGATTCACAGCCTTTGAGGCTGGTTAATAGCTCAGCAGCTCGAGTCCTAACCAAGGACCTAGGAATAATAATAATAATAATAATAATAATAATAATAATAATAATAATAATAATAATAATAATAATAATAAAAAATAGTTGTGTTGTTTTTGTTGTTGTTAATCTTTAGTGAGATTCACAGCCTTTGAGGCTGGTTAATAGCTCAGCAGCTTGAGTCCTAACCAAGGACATAATAATAATAATAATAATAATAATAATAATAATAATAATAATAATAATAATAATAATAATAACAACAACAATAATAATAATAATAATAATAATAGTTGTTGTTTTTGTTGTTGTTAATCTTTAGTGAGATTCACAGCCTTTGAGGCTGGTTAATAGCTCAGCAGCTCGAGTCCTAACCAAGGACCTAATAATAATAATAATAATAATAATAATAATAATAATAATAATAATAATAATAATAACAATAATAATAATAATAATAATAATAATAATAGTTGTTGTTTTTGTTGTTGTTAATCTTTAGTGAGATTCACAGCCTTTGAGGCTGGTTAATAGCTCAGCAGCTCGAGTTCTAACCAAGGACCTAGGAATAATAATAATAATAATAATAATAATAATAATAATAATAATAATAATATTATTATTATTATTATTATTATTATTATTATTATTATTATTATTTAAGCTGGCACAGTTATTTTCCTCCGAAATCCCTTCCAACTCTGTTATTCTATTATTAAAAGAAACGACTCGGGACTTTCACTTTACTTAACGGTTGCTGGAATTGGGTGTGTCTAGTTTAATGAAAAGAAGGACCAGGGGTAACATGATAGCAGTGTTCTGATATCTCAGGGGCTGCCACAAAGAAGAGGGAGTCGAGCTATTCTTCAAAGCACCTGAGGGCAGGACAAGAAGCAATGGGTGGAAACTAGTCAAGGAGAGAAGCAACCTAGAACTAAGGAGAAATTTCCTGACAGTTAGAATAATTAATCAGTGGAACAACTTGCCTCCAGGAGTTTTGGATGCTCCAACACTGGAAAATTTTAAGAAGATGTTGGATAACCATTTGTTTGAAATGGTATGGGGTTTTCTGCCTAAGCAGGGGGATGGACTAGAAGACCTCCAAGGTCCCTTCCAACTCTTATTCTATTCTATTCTATTCTATTCTATTCTATTCTATTCTATTCTATTCTATTGTCACTTCATTCTATGTGTTCAATTCATGGAGAGGGAGGAAAGATGCCTCAGCCATGGGCTACTTTTTCTCACGCATGCTCCTGTCCAGAAAAAAAATATATATTTGTAATACGATACGTGTTTTGATGGAGGCTGACTCTGCTGGCTCAAAATATTTTGCTGCTTGCAATGGAGCACGCTCTAGTGCTTCTCCCCCATTAATTCTGGAGAGCCAGAGTTAAAAAAAACCGACAACACCCTGCGCCGTTTGAACACCTGATACTTTCCGCATCAGCTCCTCTGAAAACATACAGTTTTAATTTTCTAGGTTTACAAGGACTGCATTGTGGAGACTGAGCCAGATCTTACCCAAAAGAAATAGTGTAATAGGTACAGAAAAATGGATTTCTTTGAAACCGGGGGACCTTCTTCTAAACAGATGCTTATCATTCTTGGGTCTCTGATTGGTTACTTATTCTGTACTCTTGTCTCATGCCGTTCAAGTAATCTTCCAGACTATTTTCTGGGATCATATTCTTTCAGGTTGATCATTATCAGTAGAAATGTCAACCAGCGAAACAGGCTGTTGCTTTGTTCCTCTCTTGTTTGTCATTCTTGCCCTTTTTTAAAAAAAACCTTATAATTCTCTTGTTTTAGTGTGAGCCATCCAGAGTCACTGGGAGTTGGGTGGCACATCAATTTAATAAATAAATTAACAATGGGTATGCATTGCTCCTAACATGTGATAGTATTTCCTCATATTTTGCAGCCTGCATTAGAAAGTCTGGGAGTTTATGTTTTATGGAGTATAGGTAAAAGTAAAGGTTTTCCCTGCACAGTCATGTCTGACTTTAGCGGGTGATGCTCATCTCAATTTCTTGGCCTATTATTCTCTGTTATTCTTTATGACTTTCTGTGGGATCGTCCATAAACACTCAAAGAGCCACAAAAATCCTAATTGGAAGCCTCCCATTCAATTCTGGAGCTGACTGAAAGTCTGGTTCTCCCACCATAGAGTCTCCTCCTAGCGTGGCATCCTTTTTCCTCTACCTGTGCTAACTGAAACCCCTATCAATTGTGGAGCTGACCGGAAAACCCGCCCCTTGACATAGTCTCTCCTCCTGGCACACCATGTTTCCCCCCCCCCCACAACCAGAAGCTCCTCTCAAAATTGTTGTGCCAACCGGTGACAGAGAGCCGCAGCAGAGGGATGAAATAGCCACATGCAGCTCCAGAGCCGCGAGTTGCCGACCCCTAACCTAGCCCATACACTGTGCAAATGTTCCTGCACAGTGGCAGCTGCTGATATTCCTGTCTACATCTTACACCCTGCTACTATGCGTTGGACTGTCTCCAAGGCTATTTTGCATAGTTTGCACCTTGGGTCCTATCTAGTGTACTAGCCCTTTTTCTAGCTGGGGTTCAGTGGCTGGTGGCTGGACTTGAAATGGAAGCTTCTGAAGAGTTTCCAGGTCTTTACATCAGTAGCCTACATGTCCTCTTTTGGCCGCTTCACTATACCAGTGGGGTATCTGATGACTGTCTGACTGCAGTTGATGGCCCAGAATTTTTGAAATTAAAGTAATCTATGTAAACTGAAGGTTGCATATAGATCTGGATCAGGTGTAACGGGTGGGTTCTAAAAATTTTTACTACCGGTTCTGTGGGCATGGCTTATTTTGTGGGCATGGCTTGATGGTCATGTGACAATTCTTTAGGATTTAGCAGATGTACTGGTCTACCAGGCTTTTAACTGCTTGCAGAGCTGTACCAGTCTACCCATTTGTTCCTGGAGCGTTTCGGTCTACCCATTTGTTTTTTGAGCGCACTGATCTACCACCACACTGCCTTTTAACACTGATCAGCTGTAGGGTGGCTCTTTGAAGCCCCATGGCAAGAGTTTAAACAGTTTTTTTCCTTCTAGCCGATCAGCTGGGACTCGGGAGGCAGCGAATAGATTGGGAGTGGGGCCAAATAAAAGGTAAGAATAACACGGGGGGGTGGGGGGTGGGAGGGCCCAGTTCCCGAACAAAGAGAACCGGTTTGGTGATGTCATATCGTCACCACTACCTGCTCGGCCGAACTGGGCCGAACCGGGAGGAACCTACCACTGAGGTGTAGTATGGAGTAGAATGTGTTTAGTGATCTCTGTTGATTATGGGTAGTTCATAAGTCTGATTCAATTAGAAGTTGTTTGCTGTTTTATTGTCATACATAGCAGTGGTGGTATTCAGCCAGTTCTAGCTGGTTTGGGCGAATCGGTAGTGGTGACTGTGGGAGGCTCCGCCCACCCATTCAGACGTCATCACGTCCTGTTTTTGATGCTCGGCGTATGCGTGCTTACATTTGTGAACCGGTAGCGAACGTAAGTGAATACTACCCCGATACATAGGCCTTTTGAAAATTCTAGCTCTTTTATTGAAAATTCTGTTTATTCTTATGTGGTTGGTATTATAGTTTGATTTGGAGCAATAGCAACAATAATTCATTTTCAAAATACATTCCCTGCTGGAAAACTAGCCAATGATTTCTTTATTTTGGACAAAGCTCAACAATTTCAGAGTAGTTGCAGATCCTAGACTTAGTCTTACACTCGGCTGCTAGAAAAAAGTGAAGTTGCATTGCTACATCCTGTGCGATCTAGAAAACAAACAATCTTTTGTTCACGACCTGGAAATCCTGTTATTCCACTGCTGCCTGGTGTTTATACTCTTTCCTGCCAATTCATTTTTTAAAAACATTAGTTGGGATTTCTAAGTAGTTGGCATGTCTGAGTGAAAGTCTTTTTATGAAAGATCTCTTGTTTAGAATTGCATTACAAAAAAAAGCAGATGATTCTAGTGTTGCATTTTCAGTTTCTGAGCATGCTCTGGAATCTCCCTAAGTGATTTAAAAACACTTTTAGTTCTGGTTTTTATTTTCAGTTTTACTGAAAGTTAAGTTCTTGTAAACCAGGAACCCACTGAATCAGTCAAAAGTGACGTGAACTGCATATATTTTAAGTACCAAACAGAAGGAAGATGAGTGATCAACAGCCATGAAATACAATCTTTGAGAATAGTATAACTATTCTTTTTTTTTTTTGATTTGATTTATATGCCGCCCTTCTCCGGAGACTCAGGGCGGCTTACAATGCGTTAAGCAATAGCCTTCATACTTTTGTATATTTATACAAAGTCAGCTTATTGCCCCCACAACTGGGTCCTCAATTTACCTACCTTAGAAAAGATGGAAGGCTGAGTCAACCTTGAGCCTGGCGAGATTCGAACCTGCAGTAATTGCAGGCAGCTGTTCTTAATAACAGGGTGCTTTAGACCACTGTACTACCAAGGCTTTTTGG